TACGTTGTTGAATAAATGTGATTATATCCGACTAATTTTGACATAGCTTCCATTAACTGATTGAGGAAGTGCGTTCCTTGGTCGGATAGTATTACTGCTGGTACCCCATACTTGCAAATGTATTCATTAAATAATGCTTCAGCTGTTGTTTGAGCTGAACAATCAGGTACCGCAATAGCAACCACCCATCTTGTGAAATAATCTGTAATACCTAGTACATATTGATTGCCACGAGGTGTTCGTTTAAATGGACCACAATAATCCATACCAATTAATTGAAATGGTCCTTCAGGAGGTGGAATGGGTTGTAAATGACCAGGTTTCTTCGATCTACTAATATTGTATTGTTGACATGGTAAACATGATTGTATATATTGAGTGATGGATTGTTTCATGTCCGGCCACCAATATTTATTTTTAATTTTCAAATATGTTCGTTGGACTCCAAAATGACCACTAAGAGGGTCACTATGATAAACTTGTAAAAGATCGTTAATCATAGATGAGGGCAAATAAATTAATTTTTTCTTCGTATTACAACCTTCACGCATAATCATTAACTTATATAATAAACCATCTTTGAATTCATAGGTACTTTTAATTGGATTTTTCATAACTTCTGTAATTTTTTGTTGAATATCCGAATCTTTTCCTTGTTCAATTTTTAATTGTTCTATATCCAGTGTATTTTTTGCAATAATTTGTGATGAATCTTCTTTTGTTTGATCAGTTTCTTCTTCTATTAGTGGTAATGTTGAATTTTGATCTTGTTTTAATTGCAGTTGTTTCATTTTGGACCTTGTCGTAACTGCTCCAGCTAGTGGAGTAGTATCATCAGGAACACGACTCATAACAGTCGGTTCCCCTTTATCTCGTTTAGCAATACCATAATCTTCGTCAAATATTTCTTCTTCTCTTGGAATTGGATGACGGGATAGGTAATCAGCTAAACAATTGTGTTGACCTTTAATATGGATGATCTTTTCGATATTAAATTCTTGTAATAATATTGATATACGATCAACTCTTCGATTTTTTACTGTTGACTTCATCATGTTACATAAGGGGCAATGATCTGTATAAATAATGATTGATCTTCCCAATAAATATGGTCGCATACGTTGAAAGCACATCCATATTGCTAAGGCTTCTAATTCAATTGGATCATATCTTCGTTGACTGGATGATGTCATTTGAGAGTGATAATAAAGATTTTTGGTTTCACCATTAATGTGTTGTTGTAATGTTCCTCCAATACCAACTTTTGATGCATCTGTTGTCAAAATAACTGGATGATCTTCATCAGGATA